TCAACCCTTTAATTTTTTTACGAAGGAGACTTTTTCTTTAAGCCTGACTCTAAGTAAGATGACCACTTCTGAGGTCTAAGCTAGGGGATTCAGGTAGTAGACGGCGTCAGAAAAAGAAGAAAGGTCTAGCCGTTGTGGGAAGTAGAAACCCAAAGTCTGGAAGACACGTAACCCAGATAGTCTACACAGCGTACTTAGCTTGGTGCCTGACATGCAGGAAACAATATTATTAATCCAGCTGTGGCTGTTGTTGAAAATAAAAAGCTATTTCTTCAGTAAATATCTCCGGATGCCAGGTAACTCCATGTCCCAGCACACTTCAATTTTAAGGTTAAAGCAGCTAAACACCTTATCCTTATCCTAACTCCTTATCATAACCCCTTATCCTTATAATTGAAATCACTTATCGTGGCTCCATCTCTGTGTGTGGAACAAAATAAAATTGTGATTTTTTAGATCTTTTTGTTTTAATATTTCTATGTAAGTAAAAGTTGTGAATTCCTTGAAGATGGGTTCTTTATGATCACCATTATGGATCTTTTCTTGTCATTAACATTTATATAAGATCATTGTTTTATTGTGTATAGCCTCTCCAAAGTGTCTCATATGCCTGGCTTCCAGTATCATTCCTTGTTCATATTAAAGTTTCTTTTAAAGGGTCTTATTCAGTCCAGATGGCTCGTATAGTGTGCTTACCATAATTTCTCATGATGGTTAAGAACTTGGACTCTAGAGCCAGACTGCTGTGAGTTAGAATCCTGACCCAGGATGGACGTATCAGCTGTGTGACCTTGAGCAGTCACTTAACCTCTGTAGTCCTCAGTTTCTCTTCTCTTAAATGGAGATAATAAAGGAGTTTACCTTTTACTATTATTGGGAGAATTAAATGAGATACTGCATATAAAGCACAAAGCTTGGTATGATGATGCTTCAAAAATGTTGGCTGATATTATTATTATTAATCATCCTCACTTAATAATCATAATATACTCCTCGCCTCACTTAAGGCTGATACAAAGGTGGGTGAGAGAGATCCATGCCTTCAAGAATCTTGCAGTTGACTAGGGATAATATTCATTCATTCATTTAACAAATATTTATTGAGTACTTACTGGATGCCAGATACTGTTCTAGGCATTGGGGACAACTGTGCACTTAGCCCAACAGGAACCAAAACAGACAAATCTCATGGCTTTTATATTCTGGTGGCTACACACTTAAAAAATTGTATACAGTCTAAGACGTGTAAGTGGTATGTGAATGATACTTACAAAATATTTGATCAGATGAGGCTTTTAGTATAGGAACACGCAGTTAATAGTCCTCAAGTATCTATTAAATAGAATCAAGTAGTCACAAGCACAATAAATAAAAGGACCAGATGAAAACCGATCTCAAGAGCAGGTGTAAAAAAGGCTATAAAGTTGCTGTTTCCCAACCCTCACCCCTCTGAAGGATCTGCAGCACCTCCATTTTATTCCATTGGCTTTGGCTGGATCTAGGCATAGCTCATGGCAGTGTGCCTGCTAAGTCAGAAACCACTCTTCGCAGCAAGCTCTTAAATCACTAGTATGTTCCAACATGCCAATGCAATCATGGGTTGAACTCAGGATCTGAGTCACCTGCAGAGAATCTGCACACCCAGGTGCAGAATGACAGGAAATAGCATCTGATGTCTTCTCACTCAGGACCAGATAAGTAATTTTTGGCACTAGCCAATTCTCAAAGTTAGAAATGTGCCCGGGTTTCATGGACGTAAGCCAAACTCCTAAATGGGAAAAAAAAAGTCTGAGGGTAAGAATTAGAAGTTGTTAATCAGAATTCTCAGTCCATACCTGATGTGACATTTACATAAATCATTTTTACATTAATTTCCATCTCCTCAGTTATTGTATTGTTCGAGTGTTCATTAAACCCTTCCTGTCTCTTCAGGGCTGTCAACTACTCATCTATAAAAGCTCTAAAATCCTTAGCAGAAAGTTACTCCACAAATATCTATAATAAATTTTTATATTTACTCACACATACACATGGGTACACATATATACATGCATATATAATTCTCTATTACAGTAGTAATTTGTAGTTATGGAAATTTTGAAAAATACAAAAGAGAATAAAGAAGATGGGAAATTACTATACTGCCATACAGATAAACATAATGCTTTTAAGTATTTTTCAGTCTGTTTGCCTAGATAGATGGATAGACAGACATAGTTATGATAATGTATATAATTTTTTATTCTGGATTTTTCAGCTATTATTATAGAATAAGGACTTCCTCATAACATTAAAAACTCTTAATGTCATTTCCAGTACCAGCAGATGCTATAATTACTAAGCAATAAGCAAGAACTGTGTTCAGCTGTACGTAACTGAAAGCAGGTACCTCTTCAATTGAGTAGGGTCTTCAATTCCAGGCATCCCAGCGCTTTGGGTATACCTGGTGGCTGAGTGATAGGGGTATACCAGCACGCCTGAGTGATAAGGGTAGGGAGGGTACATGCACTAGTAGTTTAAGTAGGATCTTCAAGTAATCTGACCCCCCATGTCCACCCCAGCTTTGAGAATCATTGGTCTAAATTCTGTACTCCTTTTTCGTCTCTTCTGCTCAGTTACGAGAGAAGCAAGCCTATGTCGAGAAAGTTGAGAAGTTGCAGCAGGCCCTGACCCAGCTACAGTCTGCATGTGAGAAGCGAGAGCAGATGGAGCGGAGACTGCGGACCTGGCTGGAGCGAGAACTGGATGCGCTGAGAACCCAGCAGGTGAGAGAACGGGGTGGGGCCGACAGCAGAATCCTGCATATTCTTTCAGCAAACATTCTGGAGCAGAGCACCTGCTGTGGGCCAGGCTCTGCACTCTGCACCGAGGATGCAGAGGGAAATAGAGCTCCTGTCCTAACAAACCAACACAGCAGCCAGTGAAGGAACCAGGCGGTCTGCTCCTGGGAGTGACAAAAATCCTTACGGAAAGTGGTGACCCCAGGGGCCGTGCATCCAGGAATGTGGCTTTAGATGGCTTCACAGAGGAGGGCATTGAGTTGGACTTTGAAAGATGAATTTGTTGGCGTTTCCAGGGTAACAACATCAGAGGTAGAGAAAGAGTATGTGTAAAGGCAGAAGGTGTGACACGGCAGGTTCAGGACAGCTAGGCACAGCTAGCGGGCGGAGAATGCCCAGTGAGGCTCTGGTGAGGAGGCAAAGGCCAGTTTGTGGAAGGCATTTAGTCACATTGAGTGACTGGACTTTTTCCTGTAGTTGACAGAGCTAACGACTGGGAGGTTTTAAACTGGAGAGGGCTACGGTACAAAGGAATGGGAAAGAGCCCTCTGGTGGTGTCAGAAGGGTCTGGAGGGGCAGATGATAAAGTCGTCAGGAAGGCCCGCCTGAAGGCTGTTGGTAGCATCTAGGGTGTAGTGACAGTGGGAATTCACAGGGGAGCTAGTAAGGAGATGAAATTAGTAGGATGTGATCATCAGTGAGTTTTCAAGGGTAAAGGAGAGGAAGGATTTCAAGATTACCTGTGGAATATAATATTGGTCATAAGCTCCTACTTCTGCTTCTACTTCTTTCTCCTGGTAACAGCTATTAGTGTAACTCAGCTACGAATAAGCTCAGGGTAAAACGCCCCAGCCCAGGGTCCACATGCATCTTGGCAAGGGCACAAGTCCTGCAGGACAGCTCTGCAGCTAGACTGGGCTCCATGCAGGCAGGTCAAAGGCTTCTGGCTCCAGAAAGCACCTGGGCTCCTGTGTCATCAGCCAGCATGGTGGGCAAAGCCCTCTATGCAGCTGATGAAGGGTGTGCCCTAAGTTGGGAACCAGGAGAACGCAAGACAGGACTCCATGAAATTATCTACTGGATAGGGCATAGTGGCTGTGGTTGAAACACTTGAAAACACTTGAAAGCATACACTCAGGCCAACCCAGCCCTTTCTCATGGCAGGCTCACACAGTTCCCTCTGGTATGTGTACTTGGCTGGAGAAGGAGGTGTTAGTGAGATTGCCCAGAAAATTAAGAAACCTACCCGGCCTCCCTCCATCTTGGCTGAGTCAGTGGCTCGTAAGGAAGGGTGAGTCTGTCTCTGGACATCTGTACATTCCCTGGTACTTGTGGTCCACCCCTCAGCTGTTCTCCGTTGTGCAGTTTTTGTGATCATAACCTCCCCAATGGGAGGGCAGCCTTCTCTGGTGCCTGGTACCACGCTGGCACCCCAGTGGATACTTACGAACCCTTGGCTGACAAAATGGGCACACCTCAATACTTAGGGCAAAAAAGAATGTTTATTTCCAGTCAGTGTGTCACCCACACCTTATAGTTAGATTACTTAACCTCGGACCTTCTATTTGGGGAGCTATGAAAGCAGACTCCACTCCGTTATCCTCGTTGTTTATCAGGAAGGAATGTGAAGTTATAATTAATTTGAAAACCATCACTACTGCCACAGAAGACCATTCACAGCATGCACACTCAGACCCAGGCACACACACGCCCATTATTTCCTCAGACCAATAAGGACGGACGTTCCTGCTGCGCATAAAGGCTGCCGGCAGATGCAAGCGCACCTAGAAAGACAGGAGCTTCAGAATTGAGGCTCTCCAAGGAAATTACCCAGCTTACATTTTGGATTTGGTTTGGGGGACTAATAACAGATCCCCAGCTGTTTATGACTAGCATGAGACCAAAGAGAAGGGAGACAATCTTTAAACAGAATTTTGTTTAATTCGGCATCTCTTTAGAAATAATATTATAGTTTTGTTTTTTTTAATGAGTGTGTTCATCTGTCTCCTATGATATGAAAGACACTTAGAAATTTCCTTGTTGCTTCTGCCTACTCATTAAAAATGAATATTATTTTTTAAATCTTTCCTTTAATACCTCTTTATTCTATCATTTTACCAGTGAGCATACATTATTCTATAACCAGAAAAGGTAAAAATTTTATTACAAATAAATCCACCTAAAAACCTTGAGATTCTAACTAGCTGTATGTGGTAGTTACTGTAAAGTGTGGCCAAACTCCTGCCTGGAGCTTGTGGACTAGTGTGGTGAGTACAGCCCTGCTGGCCCTCAGCAGGCCCGACGAGTCCACTCTAGTCCACTCTAGAGCATGGGGTCACCTGAGAAACTCAGCCTTTCTGGGAAAAGTATCCGGGGGTCTCTCTGATCGGCTTCCTCCTCATTCACTCTTCAGCAGCTCGTGCTCTTACCTGCCCCGGACGTGGCCAGCCCAGACCGCACCCTGTTCCTCATCCCTGTGTCACCAAGGCATTTATCTTATCCCATTAGAAAGTATGCTGAGGTCAAACTATAACAAAGCTCCTGGTCATCTCCCCCACTTCCTCAACAAAACCACTTCCCACAGGGAGTTATTCCACAGGGACCATTGAGAGAGTAGCTTAGAGTACTTACTAAATCAACACCCCACACAAGGGTTCTGCCCTTAGACTGGTGCCAGGACACAGCCGAACTTCTCCACTCTCATCCTTAACAGCACAGAGCCCCCAAGTGACCCCCAGTTATTCCCGCGAGGTGCCCTGGGACCTTCCAGAAAGTGGGTAGACTGGAGGTGAGCAGAGTGGCATGGAACTGGAGTCGAATCCTGCTTGCTCTTCCTACTAGAAAAATGAACTTGGGTAAGCCAGCTTTCTGAGCCTCAACTTCCTTGTCTCTAAATTAGGGTTGATAAATTATACTTACCTTGTACTTGTAACTACAGATAAGCAAATCTGCACAAAGTTCTTAGTACATAGTGCCTGGCACTTAGCAATTGGTTAAGGAAGAATAACTATCATTGCTGTTCTTATTATCATCATTACCTTCAGAGTCATTTAAAGGCTTAAGGCATCCTTGGGACCCTCCCCCAAATTCCTCCCTTACTCCAACTTTTCCATTCCACTGAAAAAGTGACAGAAATGTGGCCGATTGAGAAGGAGGTGGTTGGAGATAGTTCAGGACACAAGGACTAGCAAGAAAGAACAACACCTTCCAGTGAACATGTTCTTGTCAGTATAAATAATCTTCCTCCACCTTGGGAGCTGAAGTACTTAAGTCTCATTAGAAGCTGGGAGATGCGAAAGAGAAATAAAAGTAAGAGAGAAGGAAATTAACATTTTTAAGAACTCACAATTTTATCTTTCCTGCAAAGTGCTCAAAATAATTTTCACATCTTACCTCCATAGTTCTCCTGTGGGGTAGAAGAAAGAAGGAGGGATCTTCTTGAAGAGGAAAATGAGACAGACACAGGGCGGTCAGCCCAAGGTCATTAGCTAATTAGGACATCCCTCTTGGGTAAACACATTTAGGGCGAGGATTTTATCTGTATTGTTCCCCGTGGTTTCTCCCCAGCACATGGTATGTGCTCAGTAAATATTCGTTGGCCAGCTTGTATGGACAGCAGAAGCAGGCCTGCCTGACCCTCAGTCTGTTTTTCTAACCAGCATACTTATCTGTTAGACCATGTATGTTTGAATGTTGAAAGTCATGCATTTATTTAATAACTTAATGACCTGAATTAGGCGCTCTATGAAAAGTTGTCATGATCTCATGTGAGGTCAAGAAGATTCTGCAAAAATTAGCCTGTCGAGATGGCAAAATAAGGATTTAGGTAGAAACTAACCAGCATAGATCACAGTTTAGTGAGGCTGTGGAATCTTTTTCTTGGAAAGTTTCTGAGAACAGGGGAGCTTCTCATCTCGATGGACTGGTTTATTTGTCCTCCTGCCTGAGGCCGGGTGCCTGGGCAGAGAGGGCAGGGGTGGTCAGTGACTTCCTGTATAGGTTGATGAGGACAAGTTCATGCCTTCCGCTGTATTCTTGTTTAAATGTTGGTGACTGGCAACACCTAGAATAATTTGAATTTGTAGCTTTAAACAGTTGAATAGAGACATATGGTTTACAAAAAAGCCCATGGGCCCATTTGATTTTTGGGGGATAGGATTTGATTCCATCAGGGCAGCTGAGATGCCCAGCTGTTGCTCTAGGTAATTTTTGTGGTTCAAGGTAAAGCATTCAGGTACCTCCTACCTTGCAACCAGCTCTGCATTTAAAATTTGTGATCATTGGGAAAACATGAGGAGAATGAGTGTCCCAGGATGTGGAATAGCTGGGATGAAATCATTCTCCCCTGAAGCCAGAACCTCTTCAAAACCCTATCATCCTCTAATCATGCTGTTTAGAGGATATAGTATACCTGAGTTCAAAGGAAAAAAAAAATTTTAATGTGCATATCCTCAGTTTCTAAGCAGTTCAGTTAACATAACCGATTTTTCCTATCTTACAGACACAGATGAAAAGACAGGGCTGAGAAATGAGCTTGACTTGCATTAGACGATTTCTGGTAGCACTTTACCTTGTTTAGCCCTTCAAATGCTTTCCTACGTATTATCTTATTTGATTCTCAGGCTTCTAAGCAGGGCAGGTATTAATTTCTCTGTTTCCCAGATGAGAGCGTAGCGGCCGGGAGAGCATCCCTGTTAGGGCATCTCGCTCCCACTTCCTTGGCCTTTACATGATACCTCCCAGACTCAGGTGAAACAAACAACCGGAATCACTTCCTTGAAGGCTGGAGGAAGTGCCTAAGACTTGGTTCCTGTTGTTGCTTTTGCTTTAAATTAACTGCAGGACATTGGACAAGCCACTTCTTATCATGCAGAGCTGTATGACCAGACAGATTCATGATGGAATCCTTACCCTACTACTGATGAGCTTAGAGACATTGGACAGTTCATTTAACCTCTCAGAAGCTTAGTTTTCTCATCTGCAAAATTGGGATGATAATGTCTGTTTCATGGAGTTCCATGAGAATTAAGCGAGACAGAGGAATTTGGTAGCATGGCGTTAGGATGCACTGAGTTTGGTCACCCATCCTGAGCAGGGAGCAAGCACATGATGATAATGTGTGTGGATGTGCTGAGGATCTTGGTGAACCAGGTGTTCTCCATGTGGGGAACAATGCAGACATGGTTTATGTTGTTTACTTCATAGCCCCGTTTCAGCGTCAAGCTGTTATTCCTTCTGCTTCTCCAGAAACATGGAAACGGCTCACCAGCCAGCATGCCAGAATACAGTGCCCCAGCCCTCATGGAACTTGTAAGGGAGAAGGAGGAGCGCATCCTAGCCCTGGAGGCCGACATGACCAAGTGGGAGCAGAAGTATCTGGAGGAAAGCACCATCCGACACTTTGCCATGAATGCCGCAGCCACTGCCGCAGCCGAGAGGTGAGACCAGCAGAGAGTCCAATGGTGGGGATCCGTCCAGTAATGTAAAGTACATCCGCACAGAGGAATATGTGTGGTCTTCAAGAATGACGTTGTGAAAGTTTATTTTATGCTCCTTTTCAACAGTGGGTATGTGTCATGGGCCAGACAAGGAGATTTAATCTTCATAACAGCCCTGAGAGGCAGAACTATTATTATCCTCATTTTGCAGCTGAAGAAATGAGGCTTAGTAAGGTGCAGTGGTTTATTCCAAATCACACCGGTAGCAAGTGATGGGACCACATGTCCAAGCGAGATTTGTCTGACTTAAAGCCTGATTTTACTTGGCTTAAAATTGTTTTCTGCTATTGTCAGTTATTACCTCTGTTGCTTTCTTTCTCTTTTGTAGGCGCACAGTCTATTCTTCCTTTAAGAATTAACTCAAAATGCTCAGTCATTTCCAAAATAATTCTGTGAAGCTATGCTCTTGTCTGAGAAAGTAGGTGGTTCCCCTTGACTGCCAGAGCTCGCCTGCACACATGACTGCTGCACTGAATTGCGTGGTGGTACATTCTACCAGTCAGGTCTCTCGCTGCCTCCCCCCACTCCACCCCGCACCGATTTTGCTTTTTGCCCATAAGTTATATTGGGCATTTAATTCAGAGTTGTTTCGGAATTCACTAAAATTTAGGGTCAGTGTATTTGGAGATCCTCAAATTTCAAAGGAGCATCTATAAAACTAGACGTAGTAAGGACTATTGTCATACCATTTGAGATAGTAAGACCTGAACCAAGTGAGATAAATAAACACTAAAGATGCACCCCAATCTTATCAATCCCATGTTTCCTTGAAAGAGGAAGAGAGGGCCTGTTGGTGGGGGGTGGCAGGAGCATACTTTATAAGTCATTGATGGGCTCTCATGTTCATTAGTCAAGCGCAGAACTGCTAGCAGTATGCCCACATGTTCCTTCCAGAAACTTGGAGAGAGAGCAGTGCCACCCATGCAGGAAGATGCCTCCACTGGGTGCCGCAGCACACTCACACCTAGAGAGACCTGCAGACTCGTGTGAGATCATTTTTTAGTGCCACCCACAGTAGTCCATGTGAGCGAGCCCTCGGGAGTGGGAATAGACATTTGAGACGTGCACTGTGTGGTGAAGCGCCAGCGTCATGACGTGAGGGCTGGAGGAAGTCGCAGCCTCCAGTTCAGTCCTTGCGCTCTATGAGTGAGAGCAGCGAAGCTCTTAGAAACATTTCTTACATAATTGAAATATTTTTATTTTCAGCTTTTTTTTTTTGGTAAGGAAGAGAACAAACTATCATAAAATTACAAAGGGATTTGGCCTTCTTTGCCAGATTTGGTCTAATGCATAGCTGTCAGTGATGCCCTGGGAATTGTCTTTCTCGTGATTTTTAATGGAGAGAACACTGCATAGGGAGGCAGGATGCCAATATTTAAGGCTTCTCCCGCTATTGCCGACTACAGGCGTGTGAGTCTGCGAAAGCCTTTCTGAGTGTCACTTACTTCATTCAAATATTACCTGTTTTCTGAAATGGAAAATGTAACTTTGGGCCTGTTACAAGGAGGGAGCCAGACCCTATTCCGCTAGCTGAGGACACTAAAGTCCCAGAGGCAGTGTGAACACATTACTTTGGAAGCATGACATGGGGACCTTTGTGTGTCATTGTCTCAGCTCTTATTGATTTATCGGATTGGATGCATGTTTGGGATCCAGGGCCCTGAGAGAGCAAATGGATCTGGAATGTAAAATCAGAAGTAGGGAGAATAAACAGGTCTGAAGCATAAGACCCTGTGGTGGGCACAGGAGTGGGACGGTGGGGACCTAAGTAGAACCAGACAGCCCAGCCTCATGCGTCATCCTTCATGCAAGGGGAAATGTCTGTTGCCCTCAAAATAGTCCCGTGAGATTTCCCCAGCGCCGTTGTTCTCTGCCCTGTTTGGAGTCCTGGACGGACGGACGGATGGTTGGATGGAAGGAACGAGGCCCTTTCCACTACTCTTCCCCGCCCCTCACCCTTCTTTACGTCCTCGTGTATTTATTAAGCATCTAATAATTCTGTGGGAAACTACCCTCCCCCTTACTGATCACTCCTTCCCATAGTCTTGAGAAAAATCAGATTTTTAGCTCCAATTTTAATGTTCTTTTCAAAGAAAACCTCTGTAATTTCAGGATTGCTTTTCTGTTGACAGAAAGAGAGAAAAGGAAAATGAAGAATTTTTGAGAAAGGTCAAAATTCTGAGCTCTTGTCTAGATGCTAAATGGCTTTATATGAATTGGTAAAAGTGATTATTTCTGGCCATTAGTTTTGTGTCTTTTCAGCCACTGCTGTGCACTTCACATTTATAAGCAATGATTTTCAAATAGAAAATTATTTTTTTATACCAACTGATTTTGCCATCTCGGTTCACTTTGGCACCATTGATCAGAATTTTAAGAGGTTGGGCCTTTTTTTATGGTTTTGAAACTTTGTGCACGTTTCAAAGCAATGTAATATTTTTTTTAGAGTCTTGTGTGTTTACCTCCTAAGTTGTTTTTATCTAATTGTGCCTGCTGTCTTTACTTGGCAGTATAAACGTGGATTTTTAAATTTGTTTATGGCTCTGAGTGAATTCTCCAAAAGTAAATCTGTTGAAAATGTTTCTCCAGCCACTAATTCCTGAATTAATGATTTTTGTACACCATAGGGTGAATTTATAGTTTTGTCATTATGTTTAAAGCATTTTGCTTGTTTTTTACATTATTTGGCTGTATTATTTATTTTCAGCCACAATCTGCACGTAGGCCGCATTCTCTCGTGTGACTCCTTTGTTGGTTTATTTTATCTATGTGCATCTTTGCCAAGGCCTTCATAAAAACACAGGAAACTTCGGAAGTGTAGAGTGGTGGTTAGGGACATGGACGTTGGAGTCATAGATATCCGGATTTGAATCTGTTTCCACCTTAACTAACTGGGTGTTCTTGCAGAGTCACCTAACCCATTTGTTCATCTGCAAAATGACAATAATAATACCTACTGCACAAGTTTCTGTGAGAACTAAATGAGATACTATGTATAACGTGCGTTACCCAGTCCCCAGCAGGAAGGAAATGCTCGTTCATTGGTAGCTGTTGTTAAAAGAGATGAAAGAAGAGGCTCATTTTTTCTAGTGTTCTAGAAAAGAGCTGTAAGATTTTAAATATGATTATAGCATTGGAATATGAAGCTAAAGAGATGCAGACTATTTGGCCAGATTATTTCCTATTAATTTAGTGCCCACCGATCAGAGACATTGTGCTTTTCAGTTTAAGATATACTTAGGTCACTTGGATGGCGCAGTTATCTTATTTGTACCAATCGTCATTAATTAGGACTGATTGAATGGCGAAAGCCGGTGGCAGAAATAGTTTTCTTTGACCAGTTGTTTTCAGTCAGACATGCTTCCAGCTCCCTCTGTCTGTCTTTCCCTCACTCTGCCCCCTGGACTGGACTGCAAGGACATGGTGTGTGTCTTCATCTCTCTGTCCTGCTGCCCAGTTTGGCTGTCACACTGAGTGGGCCTAAATCCTCTGCAGGGACCCCTAAAACAAGAAGTGAAGGATATTTCAGCTTGAGCCTCTCTGTTCAAGAGAGCTGGTGTCAAGTATTTACTAAGTCTCCATTTTACTGTAAAATACTGAAATAGCTACTATGCAGGTAAGAAATAGAAACAAAACCTTAGCTCTGAATGAAAAAAGCAGAAAGGATAAGTAGGTATCAGTCCAAGTATAGAGACATAGAGACGCTAACATGTGATAATAGTATCCTTACGTCAGTGGGTATACTGTATCCATGTTCATAGCATGCCACAGAGCTTGATATACAATGTCGTGAGTAGAAGGGGCAGGGAATTGTTATTTTGGATTGTATTTTGTTTCCTTTAGATGGTCTTAATTCTATCAAGTCAAGAGAGAGAATGGGCCAAAACTTAGAGGAAAAGTGGCCGAAGGAGTATACGGGGAGGTATTTTTAGTGCAGTGCCCTCGGATGCCTCCCATGAGCATTTGCATCATTCTCTTGTGTGTCCTCTGTTGCCAGGGACACCACGATCATCAACCACTCGAGGAATGGCAGCTACGGCGAGAGCTCGCTGGAGGCCCACATCTGGCAGGAGGAGGAGGAGGTGGTGCAGGCCACCAGGAGGTGTCAGGACATGGAGTACACGTAAGGGACAGCCGTGTGCGTGGCTGTGAGGCCAGGCTCCACTCTATTCACTCACCTCAAGGCCCCAGTGACCAACGTTCGTGCTCACACTCCAGACCCTTTCTGTTCTGAACAGCCGATAGGCTCAGCAAGTTATTGTCCAAGTTGTGGAAAGAACTCAAGTGTTTTGAGATTCTCATTTTTGGCTATCAGGGAGAAAAATTATCCTCTCCCAGAAAAGCATCTTTTAATTTTTTTTCTCACAAAATGGGGAAATTGATTTTAGTGGAAAGCTCGCCCTGTGTGAGGCTTCAGAGTTGCTGTGCTTCCTGCTGCTCTCCGGCCCCCGCAGCCAGCCGGGGATCCTAGACCCTCTGAGCTGAGCACGCCATGATCCAGGGGTCCCTGCTGGGAGGCCACAACTATATGTCCTCAGGTTCCCAGGAAGTCCTCAGAGGCCAGAGAAGGTCCACCCTTTTGATTTACTACAAAAGATCCATCTTACACAATTGGCAGATTGGAAACGTTGAAGACTTAACTACACTTAACTCTTCATCCTGAATTATAAATCAAGTGCCTGGGGCAGCCTGAGAGAAACGTTTCAAGTTTGCTAGCCAGATGGCTCCTGGTTATGATTGTTTTATTTCGTTTGTTACGCAGCATTAAGAACCTCCACGCCAAAATCATAGAGAAGGATGCCATGATCAAGGTCCTCCAGCAGCGGTCCCGTAAAGATGCCGGGAAGACAGACTCCTCGAGCCTGCGGCCCGCCCGCTCCGTCCCGTCCATTGCCGCGGCCACCGGCACACACTCCCGCCAGACCTCTCTCACCAGCAGCCAGTTAGCCGAGGAGAAGAAGGAAGAGAGGACCTGGAAGGGGAGCATAGGTGAGCCCCGCGCCTCCTTCAAGGTCAGAGTCGGGAAGGCAAGAGCTACACAGACGTTAAGAGGCAATGTCATCTGGTGGAAAGGGTCCTGACGCTTTTGAGGTATCTGGCTCTGCCACTCGTGGGACACAGAAATGTCACTGAATATCTCCAAGTCTCTGTGAAATGGGAAGGGTAATCAATCATACTTAGGTTGTGGAAGTTAAATGAGACGTGTGGGAGCAAAGGCTAGACCACCAGAGTAGCTATTAGCCATGGATTGAACCACAGAATTATCATTTATTGTTAGAAGTCGAATGACCCTCTACAACATAAAATGTTCTGATGCGAAAAGCCCAGTCAGGCCTCAGAACTCGGCTCTGTCCCAGACCAGTTATAAGACTGCTCCACCTCTGCTTCTGTGCCTAGAAAAGCAGGGTAGTGTCTGCCCTGTTATGACATGGGGCCATGGTGAGGGCAAAATGAGATAACGGGGAGAAAACACTTTGGAAGAAGTACGCTTGAGCATGAGAGGTTGGTGGTGGTGGTTCTTGTATTATTTTTGCACAGGCAGAATTTTGAGGATTCCACGGATGTGGTCTTCGCCACGAATGGGCTTCCTGGGGCGAGGGCCAGCCGGTTGATGGGGCTAGCCGAGTCTGGAGAGGGAGTAGGCAGCACTCCCAGACACACGTCCTCCACTCTCTT